GGAGTTATTAGTATCATCATAAAGCTTGTTCATTTGTCTATCTTTCTTTGAAAAAATACCCATCTATCTTGAATAGAAGTCGACATATTTAGGATTGAAGGAGGTGGGAGTTGGTTAAAGTCAGAGGCAAAATTAGCGAGAAAATTGCCAAAAAATGTTGACGACTTCCATGGCTTTAGAGTCCTTGGAAACGTTTTTCAATAAACCCAACACAGAAAGGTTTTTTAGTGGTCTTAAATGGTGTTGGACCAAACATATGTTATAAAATTGCCAAACCGGCATAAAAATAACGATATCCTTTATTTCATTGGTTTGACAAGCGCCTGATTTCAACCACGATGCCTCACATTTAAATTAAAATGTTGAGTTGATGAGAAGCACAGCCACACAGTACCACTCATTGATACAGTGCGCCAAGGGCGTGACCCTTTCAACAAAATAAGGCTGTTATAGCCCTGCTTTCTCTCCGCTCTATCTCCACGAAATCAAAAATAGATGTTTACCTACGGCTTGCTCGATACGAAGAAAATGTTGGTTCGCACGTTCCTTCTCTAAGGCGTTAATTAACGACACGAACATAAGCCCCAATGTAACCTTAAATCAACACTGAAGGGACGAGCTGCCTGACATTGTAATGAGTAGGAAGCCTTTTTTCTGTTCAAGAAATCGAAATCACGGAATTCTTATAATATGGTATCTGTCTATCTATCTTCATGACAGTCCATGTCCTGCTCCCCTACACGAAAAAACCAGGGCGTCATCCCCAAGTCTCTTTCCTAAAAATGTCGACCCATACCTTTTTTGCATGGATGCCACGGTTAACGCATGATTTGGATCCAAACTAAATTTGACAAACAAAGTGGCGCCTTTCCCTCAGGGCACAGTCCTGCTCTCATTACATGTTGGGCTCGACAAACACCACTGTCGTATCACGAAGTTTTCGAGTGGGGTGTACGCTGTATTCGGAGGCTCTCGATTTTTTTTGGGGGGGAGGGGGGGGGGTCTTCTTTATAGCACCGCTACTTGGCCTCGAGTTCTCTGAGTTTATTCTTGTTTTGTAAACTTCAAATTAAACCAACGTTGGTGATTTTGGTTCGCCGGTCATTTCGCTGCTCGAATGCTTTCAAATACACACAAAAACACACGTATACGATCTCTCTCTCTCTCTCTCTCACTCCCCCCCCCTCTCTCTCTCTCACACACACACACACACATACACGCTTTCACAAACACACACAAACACAAACACGCACATGATATCGTCCTGGACTTTTCTGGTCATTCAACTCTTCAAGTTATCTATGTAAGTTATACTTGGTCTGCCTCTGCGTATTTTACCTTCTATCTTTTTTTATTATTTTCGCAACAAGGTATAGAATCCTTAGGCCCTCCCTTGACCTGATGCTATTTCAACATATCTGGATATCAAGCTATATTTACTTGGTGCAGCGCTTATCTGCATCACCTGTTCGGCCGACCATACACTGCTGATCAAATTCTATTCTTGCAGATTTGTATCTGACAAAGGGAACCTGACTCAATGATCTGACCGGACCAAGAAGATCTAACCATAAGAAAAAGTTTACACCTCATTACAAAGAATTAAGAACAGCACGTTGAGGAAAAAATCTTTCGATATTGAATCGGTATTATTTGCTTGTTTTAATGTTTGTTTTATTTTGGATGTCAAGCTTGTTCATTATCTTTAAAAGAAATATTTGTATATATACTCATATTATTCCAGTTTCCATTTTAAAACTTTAAATAGCAATGCTGACTGTTTTAAGCTAATTTATTCTTCCTTTCTATCTTTTAATTTATTTATCAATTTTTAGAACACCGGTAATTAAAATTTTCCCTTTCCTTCGTACAAGTAAAATCAACGAATATCTTCCTCCTTTCATTGATTTCCCATTGTACAGTACAGCGTTCTTCGCCTGAGAACATGCTACATAAGAATCCCGTTCTCCTAAGATTGAGAGCCATTTTACCATTAAAGGGATTACGAAATATCATTTGCATGAATAAAAAGCCTTAAATACTCCTAAATCTCCGCCTAAATGCCCATGGCTTTCAGCTTTTCAAAGAGCCCTGATTTGACCATACTTTGTGTCGAAAAAGGTGGTCTTCAAATCCTGATCAGTACATGCACTACAACGTTACAGTATGAAGCAACGATGAGTTGGTAGTGTGGAGGTAAGGAGTGAGCACTCTCACGCGCTCACTTCACCTGTTGCAAACGTCGCTGTCGACGCTTGAAGCGCTGCAGCTTCTTGATTTACAACGCAGCCAGAAGACTCATTGACATGTTGCTTTAACTGTTGACTGACACACGGACGTTCTTGAGAAAGGAGAAGGAAATGGGTGGAAGGATGAGGTTGTATGGATAAAGGGGATAGAGCTAGAGCTGTGGTGGTCTAGCCAACGATATGATCTACCCTCTTTTAAAGTTTCAAAACGTTTTATGGCACTTCCAGCCCGAATAGGTCATATATGTGCCGACGATTAGAAACGTTACAATACTGAGAGTAATATACAAAGAATAGAAAGAGGAGGGATAAGGGCAATTGATGTTTGATAGGAAAAAAGGAGCAAACCACACCAGAGCGCCAACCAACCACCTGCAATCTGTACTCTGCCTGCGCACACGCAAGGTGAATGTTTTTATACGCTCGAACGTGAGTGCGCTCTACAAGCTGGTCTATCGCTAAGTGGTTTTCGATTGGTTCATTCCTTCGTTTCTCAGACGTGGTCAAAGTATCTTATAAAACTGTCATGTAAAAACAGGATGCCTCTCCACTGGTCATTTTTTTCCTTCACTAACTAACTAAAGATGTTTCAGTTTTTATTGAATGTAGGCGTTTTTACTCACCCATGAACATAATATTTAGATCATTTAGGAGGCGGACTTTGATCCTGCTCACCAGGTCTGATCCAGGTTGAGAAAGATATAACTGGATAAAAATTTTCCCTACTCGGGAATTGAACTCACGTTTGCTTGGTCTGCCTGAGGACCTGTTTTCCAATGGCGGAGTTTTTTGTAGACTTTACATGCTTAGAAACGCGACTAAAATAGAAATTTGACCAAGAACCTGATTTGAACTCAGCTCAATAAACACTTCTGAGCTGTTTTTCCATACTTTGTGTGGTTAGAGATAAAAGGAGATGCATGTCAAGGATTAGCGGTTGAGGGTGTCAACACCATACACGCACACCTACATAGAATGTTTTTAAGACGTGCAGTTTAGCTTAAAATGTACAATTATTTTGCTCCTCTCATGTTGTCAAAGCGTTCGATTGTCTTTATGAGGAAATAATTGTCACAAACCTGCCCAGTATGGGAAGAAATAAAGCTTTTGGGGTTTCTAAAGCTATGAAATAGTTGTAAGAGAGGCTGAAGAAGCTAAAAATGTCCACAATTCAAAATCCATAATTTTCCATAAAACAACCGGCACAACTGAGACATGCACACACACACACACAC